ATCCTGGCGAGCATTTTTGAGAGAGAGGACTTGGTGGTGCTGAACGATGGCGCTCCCACCTTCTTTAATGGACGGCACACCACCGCGATCGACATTGCCACTGCCAGCCGATCTATAGTAGACAAGGCACAGTGGAATATCTGTACCGACCTGCACGGTAGTGACCACTACCCAATCCGCATACAGCTTTTCGTAGGTGCGGTCCCCCCAACGACTCGGAGACCCAGGTGGCGCTTCGAGGAAGCCGACTGGGACGCTTTCAGGGAGAAATCCGACGCTCTCTTTCAGCAACGCGAACCGAACGATATCTCCAGCTTCACGGAAGTACTATACGACGCTGCAACACTATCCATCCCAAGGACTGGTAGCGTACCCGGGCGAAAAGCTCTACGTTGGTGGAACGAGGATACCAAATGTGCGGTAAAAGCACGACGCAAAGCCCTACGCCGGCTTAAGCGCCTAGCCTTAGACGATCCTGGTAGGGAGGAAGCGCTGAAGGTCTACCGAGAACGCCATCTCTCGTGCAGACAGGTGATCCGCGACGCGAAGCGATCCAGCTGGATGGACTTCCTGGATTCAATCGATGAATCCCAATCGTCGAGCGACTTGTGGAATCGCGTCAACGCTCTCAGTGGCAAGCGGCGATCCACTCCACCTACTATCCAAGCTCATGGCAACACGATCTCAGAACCGAAGGACATCGCTGACAATTTAGGGAACTATTTTGCCGGCCTGTCCGCTATCAGTGGATACGACAGCGATTTCGTCCAGCGCGTCAAACCTTCCACAAGCAGCATTCGCGACCTGCGAATTCCATCCGATGTCCCTTCCCTCCAGATCAACGATGCTCTTACCTTCCGGGAGCTTCAGTTCGCCCTCGGCAGCAGTACTGGTAAATCTGCCGGGCCGGACGAGATTGGATACCCGGTGTTAAAAAACCTCTCCCTCGACGGAAAAACGAGGCTACTCGCTCTCTTCAACGACCTATGGCTCACTGACTCGTACCCGGACCTCTGGAAACAAAGCCTGGTAGTGCCCATTCCAAAGATCAACGCGACGAGTGGAGAAGCCTCCTCCTTTAGGCCGATTGCGCTCACTTGCTGCGCGGCAAAAGTGATGGAGAGAATGGTAAATCGTCGACTTAGGCAGTTCCTGGAGTCAAACAGTCTCCTTGACGAACGGCAGCATGCATTCCGACAAGGACACGGCTCCTCCACTTACTTTGCAGCCCTCGGAAATGTACTCAAGGAAGCCCAGGACAACGGTCACCATGCGGAGTTAGTATCCCTTGATATTTCAAAGGCGTTCAACAGGACTTGGACGCCCGGCGTCATCAGGCAGCTCATCGGCTGGGGCCTGAAAGGCCACATCACACATTTTGTACGGAATTTCCTCCTTGATCGTACCTTCCAGGTGACTGTCGGGAACACTCGATCGGATCCTTTCCCCGAGGAAACTGGAGTGCCCCAGGGATCCGTCATAGCGGTAACGCTATTCCTGGTGGCAATGAACGGGGTGTTCAGCCGACTGCCCAAGAACGTGCACGTAATCGTCTATGCCGATGACATACTCATCGTCGTAACGGGACGAACGACTATACGGACCAGGAATATAGCCCAAGCAGCTGTCTCCGCCGTCAGCAGGTGGGCGCTTTCTGTTGGTTTTCAGCTCTCCGCACCAAAGAGTGTACGGTGCCATATCTGCCACTCGGGTCATCTGATTCGGGGACCACCGATCACCATCCAGGACCATCCAATTCCGCTTAAGAAAACAGTCCGCGTTCTGGGGGTAGTTCTGGATCGGACTCTAAGTTTCGACCAACACTTCAGAACGGTGAAAGAAAACTGCCGTAGCCGCATCAACATCGTCAGGACAATCTCCCGTCCGCACCGCTCCAGTAACCGCGAGATCCGCCTTCGTGTCGCCCGGGCTGTTATCGACAGTCGACTTTTCTACGGCCTCGAAATTACCTGCTTAGCCACCGAGAAGCTGAACCGCATCCTCGCTCCGGTATACAATACCTACGTACGCATCGTATCCGGCCTACTACCTTCCACGCCCGCAGACGCCGCTTGTGCAGAAACCGGAGTCCTCCCTTTCCGCTATCGATCTGCTGCAGCCTCTGCCACCAAAGCCGCTGCCCTCGCTGCTAAGACATCCGGGAACGATAGGGTCTTTCTCCTCAACGAGGGGAACAGAGCCCTCCGCACTGCAGCAAACGTAGACCTCCCCCCGGTGGCCAGGGTCCACTGGCATGGAGAGAAAAGTTGGCGATCAAACGTTATCAAAATAGATAAGCGGATTAAGAGAGGATTCCAAGCCGGAGATAACTCTGTAGCGTTGAGGCGCTCTGTTGCAGAACTTCTTAGGTTGGTTTATCCGGGGCACGTTCATCGCTTTACGGACGGATCGCGATCACGGGCCGGAGTGGGACTCGGAGTGGCAGGACCAAACACCGCAACAAGTCAAAGTCTTCCGGAGGAGTGTTCCGTTTTTTCCGCAGAAGCCGCTGCTGTTCTTGACGCAGCCATCACTCCTGCAGATCAACCGATCCTTGTGCTAACGGACTCACACAGCGTCATCCAGGCGCTGGAAGCCGAAGCCCCGAGCCACCCCTGGATACAAGCCATTACACGTTTTGCCCCACCCTCAACCGTTTTTACGTGGATTCCCGGGCACTGCGGTGTTCCTGGAAACGAGGCAGCGGACAGGCTGGCGGGATCTGGTCCATCCGGACCCCGCTTCACCAGGAACGTACCACTCCTAGACGTCAGGCGTTGGATTGCGAATATCATCATGGAAGCCTGGCAGGAGGAATGGTTTCAGTCACGCACCACCCTCCTGAGAAAGATCAAAGAAACCGTACGACCTTGGCAAGACAGCCACAAGTACAAAGACCAGCGGATTATTTCAAGACTCCGGACCGGCCATGCGAGGATTTCCCACAATTTTGGTGGGACACCCTTCCACAAGGTTTGTCCAATCTGCAGCATCCCTGCCTCGGTTGAACACGTGCTGTGTGTCTGCCCAGAGTTTCAGAGGCTACGCGAACAACACCGACTCCCAGAGAGCATCAGGGAGCTACTTGGCAACGACCCCTCGACGTTGACTGCGCTGATTGCATTCTTGAAGGACGCTCACCTATACAACCAAATCTAGCCCTCTCGCCGTGGGCTGCGCTGTCCGTGTTCTTTCACCTTCCTATTTTCCTGCCGTCGGGGTATCTCTGCCGGACTGGGGCACTGTCTCTTACGGTGGAGCTCTACCTTGTTCGCGCATCCATTCCTCACCACAGTCCCGATGTAACTCCCACTTTACATTAAGTTTTTTAAAATGTTGTCTGTCCCTTTTGGTGGGTAATCAGAGCCAGTTGTACGTTATGTAATGATAGACTGAAACGCTTTCTTTCGAGGCAGGCCCTAAGCCTGACCCTCGATTATCAAATGTGATGAACTAGCCTATGGCTAAAAATCACAAAAATAAAGAAAAAAAAAAAAAAAAAAAAAAACGTAACAACAATAAATTTCAGATGACGACCTTTCGTTTGAGCTTATTGCCAAAACGTCAACCCAATCACGTAAGTTTAACGATAAACCTGGTGCACAATGACAATGCATTAATCTGCGAGTAAATAACCTAGCTCTTACGTGAAGAAATGGAAGGTCGAAGGTCACACCTTTGAAACAAATAACTACACCAAGATTGGAGCTTTTCGTAGCTTTAGAGAGTGTCTGGGATAAGAGAGAAGCGGACTGGTTGATTTTACTCAACTGTCAAAGCCAGAACCAATCGAGCAACGCATGTCTTGATTGAAATGGCAGTGTTGCTAGAAACCACCTAGGCATAGGTTGCCAAGGTCGTTGGTTTTGAATATGTTTTTCTCTTATCCCAAAAACCCTCTTTACGTAGCACCTTTGGCTGTTGCGTTGCGCTATATAAGTAAAGAACGTCGTACCTTCGGTAGTCAAGATGCTGTTTAAACGAGTGGTGCGACAGTCAACATTGCTCAGGTGTTACTATTTCTTCGACTCCAACTTGGACACCTGATGCTCAAAAAATGCTTCCGATTCTGACTCCACATCCCTGGTTGTTGGTTATTTAAGTTGTATTTAATTAAAGGCGTCTGTACAATAGTGCATTTCTTAAAATTCCTACGTACAGTATTTGGAAAACAAATCAATAAATATTTCACCAAACATAATAGGTAACCATCATGGCTAACCCTCCTCAATTCAAATCAATTCCGTCCCGTTACATCATTTACCACCGGAATCACGCGAACGGTGCCAAGTTTGTCACGACTGGGATAAAGTCTGTAGTATCAAAATATGTCCAAACAGAATCATAGTGTCTATATGGATAATGCTTATTTATTCCGACGTATACCAGATGATTTAGGCTCTCCAAATCGTACTGCAGTTCAGATGATTTGTTTTACTAGATCAACAAAGACTGGGATAATATCTATAGGATCGAAATATCGATATGGAAAGCCTAGAACTTTTGGCATACACGAAAATAGGTTGTCATGAGCCACATAGACACTTTGAATCTGTTTGGACATGTTTCGATACTACAGATATTGAATTAGTCTTGGGTGATCTAGTAGAAAAATAATCTGATCTCCATCTATGGGGCGACCCCTAGGCGTAGTGGTTAGCATCCATACCTCTCACGCCAAAGTCACGAGTTCAAATCTCACCTCCGGACAAGTCACGAATGACCCAAGAGCGTTGAAGTGACTATAATAATAATAAAAAAAACTTATAACATCTTGTATACGTAGCAAGTCCAGTCCAAGCAAATCAACGCATGCCTACGCATCTACATGTAATTAAACCAGCGAGTGTGGGACACTAGGATACCCTAGGTCAAGGAAATGAACAACACGGCGTTGTATTCCTTCATCGTCTGGAGAGGGATGAAGGTGAACTTTCCATCGAAGCGAGGGACCACTATAGAAGATAAGTTGGAGGAGCATAGAAAAGTGTACAACTTACAGTTCAAGAAGTTTGCATCAGCTTATGAGGTCGGCCAGAAGGGTTTCAAACGGAATTTGCGTCAATCGTCAATCTGGGAGTTTTTTCTGG